ACAATTTTACCTAAACTTCCATCCATTTGACGCTGCCGCACTTCAAAAAAATTAAAACGAGAAATAAGGACAAAAAGTAAAAGCTGTAGGTCGTACCGAGATTCGAACTCGGGTCCTGGGAATCAGAATCCCATGTGCTAACCAACTACACCATACAACCAATAAATTTTAATTATTAAATACGTATTATAAAACAGACAGTTCAACGCCCACAAGCCCGTTATTTTTTGTTTGCGTCCATTGCACATTTTTTCGATACTTCTTCTCTATACGATTTCGCCAACGTGAAATTTACCCCCACCATTCTTGGTTTTATTGGCAGTCACGCTCGTGCCACTGCATACGGCAAATTGCAGCCATAACCACCTTTGATTGCTTTACGCCTGTTGTGCTGCCAAATACTCCTTGTGCAGTTTCATTTGCGCGTCCCACAGTTTCTTCAACTTCTTGCGGCGAGAATTGGGAAGTTCCTGGCCTTTGTCATCGCAAAGTGGAATCCCATCGTCGTCGTAGCGACTGTAGAGTGCCGCATGCTCAGCTGTTTTGAACATATCAGCAGGCGCCAGCTTCCCCTTGAGCAGGCGTTCCTGTCGCTTTTGTTCCTGGGCAGCTTTGGCGGCCGCCTTTTGCGCCTGCTTCTCTTCCAACCGCTTTTGTTTAAGCATATTCATCCGCGCTAACTCTGTAGGGTCTACCAATTTGACCAGGGCCTTGCCATCCTCTTGGTCGTCCAGCAACACGCCCAATGGTGCGAGGTCCACGTCTCGCAGCTGATCACATAGACGCAAGATTTGGGACGGCTCCATGCCGGCACGTGCTAGTTCGCGAACGCCATCGCGGAATTTGGACAACACGCGGGCATAGGGCATGATCACGTCCTCGCGGCTACTTCCGTCAACCTCACCGCTCCCAGCCATCGAGCTGCCGTAACCAATAGCGGGCCCATTGTCTGCTAACCCAAACACTTTGAACATGCGTGTCAAGTAGCCAGCGATGCGTTCGACCAGGACCACATTGCGTGCCACAACTGGGGTGTCTTTGAGGTAAACGTTGGTCTTGCCCACCAGATCCACCATGGCCTGAAGCGCTGCGGGCGTGTTGAACGAATCGCACAGGGCCCGGTGCACTGCGTCCTGCTTGGCAAACAGTTCCTGAATCAGGGCCTGTTCGCTGGCTTGGCATTGGTGGGCGCCGGTAAACGCAGCTGGGTGGGCCTGGGCCTCCTGTACCAACGCCTTGGCGTTCATAAAGAAGTTGGTGAACAGCTTATCCAAGCTACACGCTTCCTCCATTGTGCTACGCTTAAAGTCCATGGGGCTGTCCCATTGCTGCTGCAAAAAATTGAAGCGTATCTGGCGAGCGGTGTAGTCTTGTAGCGCTTCTTGGATCGTGATAAAGTTCTTGAGCGACTTGGACATTTTGGCGCCTTCGATGTGCAAGTGGCCTGGGTGCCAAAAGTAGTTGACCCACTGCGGGCAGCGATGGTACGCCTCTGCTTGGGCCAGCTCGTTGTCGTGGTGAGGAAAGGCCAAATCGATTCCGCCCGAGTGGATATCCAGCTGGGAACCCAGGACTTCGCTCGCCATCACGGAGCATTCAATGTGCCACCCCGGACGTCCCTGGCCCCACGGCGAGTTCCACACTGGCTCACCTGGCTTGGACCGTTTCCAGAGCGCAAAGTCCGAGGGTGACTTCTTGCCCGTCAACTTGCTCCCCAGGCTGCCTTCGCCTTCTTCCAGCAGCTTGGTATCTCCTGCTGACCATGGCTCAAGCTTGGCGTAAAAATGATCAGGATGGCTGTCAAAGGCCCGCGTGTCAAAGTAAACCGAGCCTTCCGCCTCATAGGCAAACCCGTTGTCGATAATACGTTGGATGTACGCCACAATTTCTGGCACATACTCGCTGACCCGGGTCACCATGTCGGGGCGTTCGACGTTGAGCGCGTCCATGTCCTTAAAGTACTCACCCTCCCAGTGCGCGGCCAAATCGCGAAACACCTTGGGGTCTTTTACCTGGTCACCACGCAGGGCATCGAGCCAAGGAGCCAACACATCACGGCTCTGTTCCGCCAGCCCCTGCACTTGTGTGTGGTCCACACGCCCCGTGGCAAGCGCCTGGCGTGCGGCTAAGAGAGCCTGCTGCGCCGCGTCAACGGTTTTGAGGTGCATGGGCAGCTTGCTTGGCGTAGCCGTAGCCATGGTGGAGGCAGCAGTTGCGGTCAGTTGCGCCTTGGCAGCGTCAGTCCAATCGGTCAGTTGAGTGGCAGTCGGCAACAAATTGGTAGCAATAAACGCCACTAGGGCATCTTCCACCTCTTGCACGGTTTTCTCGGTCAACTGCGAGTGGTCGGTGGCCATCCACTGCTGAACCAGGTAGTTTTGGCGAGCACGAAGGATGATCTTGTCGTCAATGTCGGTGATGTTCATCACCAAGAACACGTCGTAGTTGAAGTAGTCCCGCAAGACTCGGCGCATAATATCGACGGTGACGTACACGCGAGCGTGGCCCATGTGGGACGCATCATACACCGTTGGCCCACAGTTGTACCATTTGACCAGATTCGAAGCCGATTGGGGCTCAAAATCCACCTTGGACCGGGTCAGTGAATTGTACACCTGCAGGCGCGGTCGAGCACCGTTGTCGGAGTCGGAGCTGCCGGGCACGATCCACTTGGGCTGCTGGCGAGACATGGTGGGGGTTGGGGAGCGTTTTCGAGTAAGCGCAGGGCAGGTAATCGAGCGTATTTGGATACGGCGCAGCGTCCAAGGATTCACGGCACAGAAAGAAAAGCGAAGCACTGGGAAATGCACAGGAGATAGCGTCGGTCGAGTAAAACGTATAAAGGACCACCGGCCAGACATAACCATGGGGCTGACAAATTACCCTACACGTAAGCAAACAATATTTTTTGCAAAGAATCAAGAGTCAAGAGCTGCACACCAGTTCGAAACAAGCTATTGTTCAGGACCGTTGTGAGTCACTTGTGCCAACCAAGCGCCGTTTTGGCCAGCTATGCTCGTACCGCGCTTTATTGTATGGTATGGCTCTATAAATTAGGGTTCAAGTCGAACCATGGCCCTAACATATCAGGATTTGTCCAAGCAATGCTCACGGCAGATGGGACACAGAGCACTGTGGTTCAGTAGCCATACGTCAATGCACTCCTTGTGGAATACGTGCCTGCACGGCAGCTTGCGCGCTTCGTCACCCAGCTGAAAGTTGCACAAACAGATACTACAGCTCGCAATGTCACTCACGCTGGTACCCATGGTTGTGATGCCAGCGTCATGACCGTCCGCCTGCGTCGACTCTGCCGGCCACAGGTTTAGAGCGCTGTTCAGTTTGGGCGCACAGTCTGCATCGGCCACTGTGATTTTTTTCTTGCACGGTAGGTCTGCCAAGGAGGAGATTGGGATAGAGGCATGCGCCAATGCCGCCTTCTCTGAACGACCGAGTTCGTCGGCCTTTTCATCAACGTCAAGCATGAACAAGTCGAGGACTCTTTTGCTCACCATAGCAGGGTGCAACGGTGAAGGTCGGTTAGAATCAGTTGGGCATTTCTCGCGGGTGGGGGCCGAAAAGCGTCGTGCAGCCTCATCCTTTAGGCCTGCAAACGAGCCCCGCAAGCCTTGGAATAGCCCCGATTGCTTGCTACGCGCTGGCGCAGCGATAGTGTGGGTGACAAAGGTTTGGCTAGATACTGGCGGCAGTGAGACACCATTCAGGGCAACCGTGCCCGTACTGGTAACAAGCGTTGACAAGCTACCCATTTGAGAATGCAAGGCGCAGGTCTGATTGCACTGGTTTTCACGCCAAAAGTCTTGAATCGCTGCCATGCGCTTTTTGGTGATCAAAAATGTTTTGATCTTATCCAGCTGGGTACGCTGAATGGGCGGGGTTTCAGGCTTGGTCATGGCAGTAAAGAACGTCTGCAGTGCCCGATCTCGCCGCACATCCCGGATCTCTGGGGCCACTGGAACACCACCTTCCAGTGCCAGCTGCTCCTGCCTCTGGCGTTCCAAACGGCGACGCTGGCGCCTTTCTCGAGCCTGGGCAAACCTGTGGGTGCGACAGATGCAGAACCCCATGGCGCTCACAATGCAAAGAAGCGCAATTATAGTGGCCACAATACCAACAATGGTCCCCGCGGACAAGGGTGACTGGGAGTCCTCGCTGTCGGTACCGTGTTGCTCGTGGGCAGAGAACGCCAGGCGCGGGACAAGCTCGCCTGAGGGGTCGGCCGTTTTGATTGCGCCATGAATGGCGCTAATAATAGTTGCATTGATGCCGTTGGGAGCCACAGCAAAATTGGCATTGGCGGCATTCAGGAGGTTGAGCAGGTCTGCGCCCAAATTCCGGGGAAGAACGACCGTGTCAACCCGATGTATCGGGCCGACTTTGGTGGCAAACAATTGGTCGTCATTGGAATATACAAAGACAGTTTTCATGTAGCCCTGCAGATTATTGGCGGTTTTGGCCCCGTCGGTGGCGTAGTACAGCATCCCATTGCCGGTGCTTGGGAGGGAAGTAGTCAGGACGGTATCAACATCGTACAGGATACCCTGGTAGGTTCACCAGCAGTGTTCCAATCATCGGGACGCAGCAAAGCCATGGCCAAACAGTATTGTTGATTAGGGCACGGTACCAAAGGCTGCCAGCGAAACAAGTACACGGTCGACCGTACTGTCACGCCATGGCTACAACGATGTGCCTGCTCATAGCTTTCAGAGTATTGTCTGCTCTTATGGCACAGTCAGGGGTTGAAAGGCATTGGACTTACGTCAAAATTTATCCTGGAAGTAGGCACGTACCGCCAAACGTCCGCCCGAAATGATGCGCTCTCTTCTACCGTGTACACAGTCTGTTGCACGTCGTTGGTTCCCGGGTTGACAAGGACAATACTCGATGACACTGTAAATAATGCAGTGGAGGCCAAAGCCTGGGTACATACCAGAACGCTTACAACACCGTACACCCATAGCATCATTGCTCGACAGGTGAGCATCTTAGATGATGTGGCGGTTCAAGGGTGTCCCAGGGTGTTATCTGTGCTCGCGAGGCAGAGTAGGGGGTAGTGGTCAACGGCCGTGAGGCTCAAGGGCAAGCACGCGTTGCACAGAAACCGGCGCTCTTTTTATGCAGCCTGGCCAATGGCTGGGG